AACAAAATAGACACATATACCGCAAGATCATGCGATTTGTTAGCGGTGCCACAAAATCGCATGATTTTGTCTAACGGCATGCCGTTATTGCGCCGCTTGCGGTTGATACAGACCGACAGACACCCTACCCGAGGTTTGTTCGCGGCCGTTACAAGCTTCAGGAATATGTCTATGTTTCTCAAGTGACGGTAAGTCTCACAGATAAACGGATCCCAAGCAAAACTCCTAAGGCCAAAAAGCAGGAACTGCTTTCGAATGGATTTTATTGCGTCTACATAACAAGAAGAAGACCGCACAATCGTAGCATACTCAAGTATTCATCTGACGAAGCTCATGTATAGCGTTTTTGTAATGTAAGGATGGTCATGCCCTTTGGACCCCTCGTGTTGTAAAATCTAGCGCCGAAATACTTTACTTAAAGATAAATCAATATGCGAATTAAATCGTAATCCTTGGTCGCTATATCGATGGATGAATCTACGTCGTACAACTTTTGTGAATTGATAAAATACTCAGTATTGGATGAACTCCTCCGTGAGAAAAAAAGAGTCTTTCATGTTTTTAGATTTGATTTCATGAAATTTAATGAGCATCATGTAGACAAATTATTTAAGTCAATCGATCCCAAGGATAAGGGAGAAGATAACAAGGACCGTCCCAACAAGATCAAAAACAACAAAAAAGATATAAGTGATAAAAATGATGATGTGGGGAGCACTTTTATGATCTAGGAATTCAATTTACAATATTAATTTATGTACAGGACAACTAAACCACGTTTTAGTCTTTCATTGCCTATTGATGTACGTTAACGTTTATACATAGAATAAAGCAGTCACAGCTGTGTATATCAATCTGTAAGCAGCCACAGCAGAGTTGCTAAACAATTAACCTGCAACAATCTTCCGCGCGCAAGTCGATACGGTATGAAACTCGTCAACCACGTCTAGTACAATGAATTTAGAGGAAAGGCGGTTGAGGTTTCCGGAACTAGTTATGATTACGGCGGAGAGAACTTGCCCATCAGTTTCAACATCTATTTGTATTGGTTTGACAGGTTGGTGCCATTTCGCTCGGCGAATTAATTCAGGAAAATATTCGAGCGTTATTTCCAAAACCTTTGCTTCATTTGCTTAAGGCTATTGCAAATGGCTCGGATCAGTCTACTTTTCCGACCACTTCGCATATAACGAAAAGTCGTTATGCAGGAAAAAATTGAAATCTCTAGAATTTGTCTCTAATATTAACTGCACAGTCTAAAATGTTCGAAAAATTTTGGCTGAGCTGGGGCCAATCGTTGAAAATCTTCTCATAGGACCTTTGCTGCGGAAGATGAATTTTTAAAAGATGCAGTTTTCAATATTTCGCGGTAAAAATTATTGTTGTAATAAAAACTCAACTTAACTATAGGAATGTTAGGAAATCTAAATCCAAAAAGGGCTAAGGTTTGTGATGAAACTCGTTCATGATAGTAATTTGACATAAAAATTAAGTGAAACCAATTTGAATCACATGAGCCTTTTTCTTGGGCCTCGCTTCATATAAGTTAATTATATTAATAGTTATAGAATTTAAATCACGTAGGTCTAATTTTAAGACCATAACATATACAAAGGTTATCATGAAAACGAAGCCCTTATATGGAGAAAAGTCTTATCCCTAGGTTTTTATGAGAAAATCTGAACAATAATAATTGGTTATAAAGTTAAGTTTGCTAAATTCGGTGGCCTAATTTCTATTATTGAGAAGTGTAAATAAATGTGGACGCTTATTCTCAAATGTAGGCAATTTTTATACAAATTATTGATTAACTTTGCTCGATTACTAGAATGATTTTACTTGTTTTAGTTACTTTTTCTATTTATTTTTTTATGGTGTAGCAATTTTTATAAACCTGAATAAAGCATTCTTCATATGCTTTCTTTCATATGGTACTCGTAACTTGTAACATTTGCTGAGTTATCATCGTTCCACAATTTCTTGATGACTTCTACTGAACCTACCCTTAAGTATGGACAAGCAAGTTTTTTATACCTGTTCTAGATTCCAATGTGCCAATGGCATATAAATATTCCTAAGAATATTGTGTAAGTGAGGCTTTTTCATCGACGTCTGTTAAAAGGCGACAATTTGAAGAAAAATTTGATTTTCGGCAATAAAAAGGAAAGAGAAATGAATTGTACATAACGTTTTCATCCATAACGAAACGGGCTTAACTAGTAGTTGACCAACTACGGCGATGGTGTTTTTTAATCGCAGTAAAAGCCAGAAATATTCTAAGTACTTATATTTTGTCAATCAGACACAGCTAAAGTGTGAACGAAATCGAGTCCATATAACGTCCTTTCAGGGATACAAATGAAAAGACATAATTTGGAGAATTTGCATAAAAGCATAAGTTATTCCCGTTGGGATTATAGGCAGGCAATAATAATAATAATATGGCGCCTTCGTAAACAATTTGAGGAATATTTAAGAGGTCAAATTATGAATGCCAATGCCACACCTTTAAACTTTTGTGTATTAATGGTTAGTTGGGGAATATTCGTTTAGTCTATTTATTGTCTAGAAATTTTTAGATGATTTTCCTAATCCTAAAATAATTTTTCATCATTAATATTAGTTATATGTATGTACATGTTTCAATTTTCAGATTTAATAAATAAATTCTCTTTCTTATATTTGAAAAATTTGTATATCACTTTCGTTTGCTTTTTTTCGCTTGCATAATTTATATCATATATAAAATTTTTATAATACATTTCACCTTTTAAAAGGTTTTTAATTTTGCTTTTAAAATTTAAGTTAAGATTTTTATAGAAGAGGAGAGAGAATAAATAATATGCAGCCTTCCAAAATTACATTATTAAGGGTTCGTAATGTTTGAGAAAAAACTCTAGGCATTTGGGTATTTCCTCCTTACACAGTATGCGATACCTGCTGATGACGGTGGCAGCCAAACATTTAAGGGTAATATAATTCATCAGTGAGACAGTGTTAGCAGGATTGCTGGCAATTAAATTGAAAGGACGCTCATCCGATTTGTTTGGTTGGTCGAGATCCGCACCATTATTTAGAGGTAAAAAAATTATCTACAAAAATTAATTTAGTAAAATATTTCTGAATATTTGAACAATAGTTAGTAAATACCTCATTATTGAAATTATAGGGTTGAGCAGCGATATGCAAAGGAGTAGATTTTATTTCATTTTTTCCATTTACATTCACGCCACAATCCAATAGAAACTTGATAACGGAAGCATCAGGAAATATGATCTATAAAAATGTATGAATCATTTTTTTTCAACTTCAGATATTTTATTAACCTATTTTACTTACTATATCAAATTGTGTTGCACTCTTATTTCCAATAACAAGGTCACGCATTGCATCAATGTCTACGGCTATATTGTCTAATTCTTCTAATGTTCGAAATTCTAGGGCATTACAATAAGCCTCCCGCAATGGTACTTTCGGAAATTTTTCTTTTGTGTATACATGAAAATAAAAAATTTTAAACATGCTGTACGCAAGTCGTCATCACCATGTCGACTTAAAACGTAAGGATTGGCACGTGTGCTTGAGAAATATAGACGCTTACTCTCAGATGCTCGAGAAATTTATACCTGCCACACGATGTCGACTTTGTCGAGCTTCTCGACGAACCGATACGGACCTAATTCTACAAAATGTGGTTTTTTGTTTGAATTTCGAAGAAAGTATTGAGGATTTGTACAATTGAACAAATAAAGATCTAAATTTAATGGGAACGGTGGGGTTTTCCAGCCGCTAAATGCCGGTGACTCAGGTCCCAGGAATATTTGCTAAAATACTAAATATAAACAAATATTCATTTCTCATAAACGACCAGATTAGCAATGCAGCCATGCTTGACTACCTATACGCCATGCGCTTGACTGCCTATGTCGAGATAAAATACAATTTGTGTACCCTACACTACTTGTGTATACAACGCCAAGAAGTACTTGAAATAGATCCATCTTTCAATATATTAATTTAAGTTTGTTTTTTTGTCTGTTCGACCGATGTTTGCTATTTCATCGCTGTTGATGGAGCTGCGGTGGAAGACGTTCGCGATCTTGGTAATGTTGACGATCAAGTCGCACGTCCTCTGCGCTCTGTCGCCATCGTGTAAGTCCCATATCTCCCTGAAGAAACAGTTCAATAAAACAAATTTGATGTTTTTATAATAATGGTAATAATAATAGGTAAAATTAAAGCAATTTCGCGGCTCACTTGTACTCCAATTTATTCGCATACCATAGGTATAAGTTGTTCGTTTTTGTTTCACAGTTTTTATGTTTAGTTTTCTCAAATAGTTCCTAAGTTTTGCCAACTCCCGTCTCACCATGTCAACGGTTACTACCCCGTTTAATTCTTTACTTAGTATGTCAACTATCTCTTGATGGCACGATGGCAGATTTTATTGATGTGGATTCATTTGTTTTCCTTTTTGCATCAAAATAATAAGTTTACAAATGAGGTATAGTATACCCATTATAAATAATAAAAATATATTTTCATGTTCATATATGGAATTGATATATTGAATGAATTATATTTATTTTACAATTAACTCATATGTACGTATAATATATTTTCATGCATTTTCAGCATTTGACCATTAGTTTCCATTGTTCTTGCACACAATCTGCATGCGTTATCCACAAAAAAAAAAAAAAAACACAATTGCTAAAGGAACAATAGCGAATAATAATTAATTGAATTAATGTGCCGGCAGACATGAATATATGAATATAAGGGACCAATATGAATACAATCGGTCACTATAAATATAACGGCTACGAAATTATTCGCAATCGCTAGCAGCTAGAAACACCAACGAGATTCCCAGGAAAACTATGTAAATCTCAGATGTGTTTCCTTGGAAAAAAATGAAATATATCCAATTGTAAATAATAAAAATGCATTTACCGTCAATGCCCTTATATTATTTTAAGTTACACTTTCTTATACCTTTTATTTGTTCAAATTTTTAATATTTATCCAATTCACACTTATTTAATATATTATATTCTTTATATCCTAATAAACAATATTTTTTTCTAAGGTATTTTAATACAATTAAATTTTATTTTATAATTTTATAATTTTTTGTGGTTTTTGTTAATTGTAATTTTTTTTTTAGAGTAATTTTGCAATTGAAACCACTTGTTTAAGTTCTATAAGCGCCTAATTACCACACCTTGCATGAGTTTTGATTTGATGCAACATTTCAGTAAAAGCCGTCACTTGTAAATGGCAAATAATAATATAATTGCCTTTGAAGTTAGGCAGATTATACATGTTTTTTGTTTTTTTTGTTTGTAGTGAAGAAAACCAACACTTTATCGCATAATTATTTTTTATTTAAAAGGATAATATAATAATATTTAATAATGTTTATATATATAAATATACAGTGGTATGTACATATCAATCATTTGTATATATCTAATATCTGAATTGAATTTCCTCGCTCAGTCGTCTGACTAAAGCACGTCGTACAAGCTGCTCGTGTAAGTGTGGTTATCTCTTCTATATCCTCCCCAACTCATGACCCCCCACCCGTGACCCCTACTGCTCCTAGTACAGATGACATCTGCTTGAAGGCAGTTCCTCCCAGGAAGCCAATATTTGTGTCAAGACTGGCACCTGATACATCTGTGGATAACATAAAAAAGTTATCTGGCGGCGAAAATCCTATCTGCCAATTTAAAGCGTGCTAGAGCAATCTCGTCTATTAAAATTCTAGTTGGATCCTTAATTAAAGAATTTATCCCTCGTGATCGACCCCGTAGCACGAATGCAGGGGCCATTTCCCCTTCAAAAAACTAAATATTCCTTCGGGCTGATTATCTCTCATTTATCGCAATATATCGAAATTATCGAAATGTTAGGGGCGTAAATTCAAAAATTCGTTCTACTTTCCTAAATTCAGTGAACACGGAGCTTTCTTGTTTGGCCTTCACCGAAACTTGGTTAAAGCGCCGATTGAATCGCATTGGTGGTGGTATTTTAATTGCCATATCTGCGGCAGTCCTCTCCTATTCAATTGAGTATCCCACTACTCCCGACGTTGAATTTATCGCCATTTCAGCGAAATTTTCTAATAAACACTTATATGTAACCTGCTCCTATATTCCGCCGAATTCGGATATTTCCATATATAAGAAACAGGGCGCTTTCATTTCCGAAGTGGCCAAGCAATCTAAACCGACCGATATAGTCATTGCGTTGGGTGACTTCAATTTGCTTCAAGCCACTTGGTGTTACAGTGATAGTTCTGGCTATTTAATTCCTACTTCAACAGATAGAGCTGTTGTGTTCCTGAATGAATTATACGATCATAATTTAGTTCAATACAACGATACCCCTAATTCCAATGGTAGACTGCTTGATCTTTGCTTGGCCAATCTTCCTGAGATTTGTGTTGATCATGTCGACGGTTCGTTGAACTTCTGTAACGTTCCAAATTCAACTTTTTCAAATCAATTTTATGATTTCGATAAAATCAATGTTTCAATGCTAAAATCTAATTTTTCACATATTATGCTTGAAAATTCAACTGGGCGTATTGAAAGCCTACTGCCATCATTCTACAATATATTAAATCAAGCTATTTCTGCACCTGTTCCGATCAAACTGTCGCGACCTCGAAGCAAGTGTATCCCGTGGTTTAATATGACAATTAAATGCTGTTCGAGCGAATTGTTTATTTATTTATTTTTATTTATTTATTTTAATTCTACTTATACATGAAACTCAACTAAACAAATAACAGTCGAGTTCACTTGGCACTTAAAACAAAACTTATATTAATTAATAATAAAACTGTCGCGACCTCGAAGCAGGTGTATCCCGTGGTTTAATATGACAATTAAATGCTGTTCGAGCGAATTGTTTATTTATTTTTATTTATTTATTTTAATTCTACTTATACATGAAACTCAACTAAACAAATAACAGTCGAGTTCACTTAACACTTAAAACAAAACTTATATTAATTAATAATAAAACTTAGTATAAGTACAATAAAACAAATAAGAAGGAAAAAAAAAAGCATGTACACAACCAGCAAAAAGCCACACTTATAACCGGTACAGGACCAAAATGCAAATGAATCCCTAAATCATCGCAAACATGTATAAGCCTGACAGCCGGTAATAGTTAACAACAATTCATTTTCAAATCGTACCGGCTTTTTAAGGTTAAAAGCTAATTTAAGTACGACATAGGTAAATCGCGCGTATTAAGCAACGTTGCTTTATTGGACTTTAAAGAGTCCCATAATGAGAATAAGTGATAAATGTCATTTAGGTTCTTACAAACAACTCTGAGCGGATTAAACAGCTCATAATTAAATTTACACTGATTAAGCTTAACCAAGATAAAGTGCCTAGAGAAGCGGTTAGGGACATTAAAGCTTATTTCACCAAGTAATAAAGGCGAGTCAATAGCACCATTTATTACTTTAATTACAAAGGAAACGCTAAGAACAAACCTACATTTCTCAAGAGACGGTAAGGACAGCAGAAGCAACCTATTTTCATAGGAAGGAAGAGAGGCAATCGGATTCCAACCAAAATTTCTAAGGGAAAACAGCAAGAATTGCTTTTGAACAGATTCAATTGAATCTACATAGCACCTATATGAAGGAGACCACACAACAGAGGCATACTCGAGTATGGGGTAGGGATCATCGAGTTCTTTGGACCACCTTTTTATAAAACCAAGCGCGGACCTAGCTTTGCTAATCGAGAGCTCAATATGCAAGTTGAAACGTAACCTATGGTAAAATAGAACGCCTAAATCTGTAATCGAATCGACGTCCTCCAACTTATGCGAATCTATGAAATACTGAGTAATGAATGACTTTCTTCTTCAGAATGAAAGCTTCTTACATTTACTCAGATTTAGTTTCAGAAGATTCAAAGAGCACCATGCAACAAAATTATCCAAATCACGTTGAAGCTGATGTGATTGCGATTCAACAGAGAAGGAAGAAAACAGTTTAAGATCTGACTGGAATTAACCACCGATGGGAGATCATTAATGTATAAACTAAATAAAATAGGACCTAAGTGACTTCCTTGAGGTACGCCAGACGTAACGGGGAATTCATCCGAGGTGATGGAGTTAAACAAAACCCTGAGGGATCTATTGTGCAAATAAGAGCTTATCCATTTCACTAAGTAGGGTGGGAAACCAGAGGCTTGGAGTTTAAAGATAAGTAGTTTATGGTTAACCATATCAAATGCTTTGCTTAAATCAGTGTAAATAACATCTGTGCGAGAGCCGCTAGAAAAAGCCTTGAAAATATGACAGGTAAACTCTAACAAGTTGGTGACTGTAGATCGCCCTATACGAAAGCCGTGCTGGTGCGGAGAAATATACGAATTAATGGCAAAGGCCAAATGGTGAGTCACAATATGCTCGAACAAGTTGGGCAAGACACTCAACTTGGCTATGCCTCTGTAGTTCTCAACAAATTGTCTACTTCCACTCTTGTGGATAGGAATAAGGAAACTACTCTTCCAACATGAAGGGAAAACACCTAAATACAAGGACATGTTAA